CTTCTCAGTGCTGCTTTCAGTGCTGCATTTTTGACAAATGAACTCTGCTCTTTACAAAACATGGGTGGAAACCAACACCAGCCACACAGTCTTCCTATCCTCCTGAAACACCCAGAAGTTTTCTCCAGAGGGTTTAGGGCAGTGTTTCCCAACCGGTGTTCCGCGGCACACTAGTGTGCCGCGAGACGTTGCCTGGTGTGCCGCGGGAAAAATTAAAAAATTCGAAAGATATCTGGAGAGGCGGCCTTCAGGCGAGTTTTAATTTTAATTTTCCTTCTCCCACTTAATGCCCCACGCTCGCCCGAGCAGCTTGCAGTCCTCGGTAACCACGGCGACCCGAGGGAGGGGAGGGAACAGGCAAGTCGAGGGCGGCAGCGAGCCGCGATGACGTCAGTGGGCCGCGCCGCCTCGCCCTGGCACGGTGTGAGAGCCCCGGCTAGTGGCGCGAGCTTCAGAATAAGTGGGATCCGCGTGCGCGAGACCGAGATCGCGGGTAAGGAGCTCAGCCCTGGGCAGGAGGAAGCGGGGCCGCACGTGCGGGCCACATCCCCACAGAGAGCGAGCCTCCCCCGGCCCACCACTCCGGGCAGGTCCACTCGCATGAGAGGGCGGCGATGGCGACGGCCAGCAGCTTGCCTGCAATGCCATCCCTCGAGCAGGCGAGGAGCCCGGAGGCTACCAGATGCGAGTCCTCTTTCCCACCCTGCTCGGGAGTCCAGAGCACTTGGTCGCATTCAGGATCTAGAGTGGGGAAGCGGGGCTTGTGTCTGGGCTGGACACATTGGGCTGCCTGTGCCGCTCGACCTGCGGGGAGAAATCAGGGTGGGAGTCACGACCGTGAGGCAGGGCTGCCAAGTGTGGCAGAAGAGGACACGGCCGTCGCACCTGTCCTTAGGTAGGAGCTTCTTCCGTGTCGACCTGCTGCCCTAAAGTCTTGGCTTTTTTCTTGGCTTTTTGGCGGTTGGCACAGAAGGAAGGCAAGGGGGAGGGGAAAAAATTGAAACTTACACTTTCGTGCGTCCCTCCCGGCGTGACGCTGCGCGCTGACGTCACGGGGCTGTAATGGTGGTGTGCCTCGAGATTTTTTTCATGAAACAAGTGTGCCTTTGCCCAAAAAAGGTTGGGAAACACTGGTTTAGGGAACCTTCCACAACAGATTGAGGTGGGGGCTGTAGTGGGAGGAAAGAAGCAGGAAGCCCAGTTGTGCAATGTTGAATGTAGCCCACAACAATCTTGTTAGAAAACTATTTTTAAAAAATGCAAGAAATGCTGTGCACATTCTGTTTTATGGAAAGTTGCTTTGATATACAGTGAGCTGTAGGATCAACTAAATTCTACATCTCAATCCGCAAAGCAAAAGTGTAAGAAGCCAGGGGCTTGACTAAGATCAAAGAAAGCGAAAGTAATTGGCAAAGTTCAAGCATCATTACAAAGTTTATAATGATGAGAACAAACCTAGTCTCTTCTCAGGCTCACACATACCTCTCTCATCTCCTCCAGATTGGGAGCTTTTGCTTCCATTTTAGATTAACTGCAATTTGGCATGCTCTTGTACCCTAAACTATGGTTAACCTTAACTATGATTTGTCTGAAAAAGACAGCTTCATAACTCATGGTTTGAAGTTGGCTTGTTTTGAACAAATCGTAGTTAGAATACTACAATTTGTTTGAAGAACACAAGCCACAATGAATAAAAAAAAATAGAGATGAAAGCTGCCATTGCCTCCCTTCACAAACAGTGGAAGAGAGAGGAGGTTTGGCTCATTCTTGTCACCATAAGTCTTGGCTTATTGTAATGTCTGAACGCTGTGTGTACTAGTTATTGAAAATTAAGGAAAACAAGGATAAAGAGATGATTATTTTAAAACCCGAAATAAACATCCATTCATGAATTCACCACATGCAAGCCTGCGTCTCCAGCACCAATTTATACAGCAGTAAATACCTGACTATATGTAGAAGGTGCAATATGAAGAAGTTATTAGCAGCATTTGTTGGGGCCAAAGGGCAGTCTATAAATTTCAGATTATTATTCTTTAAGTGTGCCTTCAAAAGTAGGAATATTTCTTACTTTTTGCCTTTTTCCTTCTTTGCTTCTATTCCTTTCCACACTTTTCCAACCTTCACACGCTTCCCCTAGTGACCGACTGTCCCTTCCAAGAGAAACCCATCTCACCCTTTTGAGAACTATGGAATGAGTTCCAACTATACTCTCAGTTCTTTTCATTTTCTCCTGAATTAAAGTGAATTAATTTTTAAAACATATTTTAGGGAAGGCTTGCGGAAATTGTCTGAAGACACACATGGAAGTCTAGTTTATGTATTTTTGAGAAATCTTTCATAACAAGCTGTAATTGTTGCATCGTCTCTATCCTCCTACATGCAGTGGTGTTCGTAAAACCCAAGCTGTGGATCAGCTCTTTATATTTTCTCTTAATTCAACTGCATGGCAAAGAACCAAATTTTACAGAAGAAAACATTACCAACTTGTCTTCATGACAGAACACTGAGTAGGTATAAAATTGCGATGGTCTCTATGCCAGGTTTTGTTTTCTGTGTGTTGTTGTTTCTTTTTTTCTTTCTTTTTTTAAAAAAACAACCTCTCCGCTTCTAAGATGAAAGCCTAATTTGATATTTTTGTAGTTATATAACAGTAATATTTTGTGACATTTTGTATTGTGACACTATAGATGAAATTGTCATCGGACTGACACCCTTTACTGTTTATTCCTTAATTACAACTGTTAACAACACTGCAGAGAAGCGTGCTAATCTGCCATCACATATTATGAAAACAACGTTATTGTTACAAACACCAACACCCACTCAACAGGATAGTTCTAAGACGGCAGTTTCTGTTAATTTTTTTTTTAAAAAAAGAAAACCTGATTAGTTTAATGGACACTTCAGTAGCAAAGGGGGTAAAAAGTTGACAGCAAACTTCTAGCCACCTTATTTTAAAATGGAAACATTTATGGAATGGCAATTTAGAAGTGATTATTGGTTGGTACATTTTAAAGCAGTTTAAATTTAGCTATCCAGGTTACTCCCTGAAGTTATGTTTATACATCTTTTCCCCCCAACCTCCCCAGCTTTCAAATCTTTTAGCAAAACATGTGGCAGCAGTGTGTCTGCTCCCTCTGCTGGCCATACACCCTGCTAATTGCCTCCTTGGAACATTCATTCCTGCCTCCTGCTCTCATCATCCCTCCATGGAAATTTGTAAGTCTAGCTACCCACTATCCCACAATCATCTGCTGGTGGTGGTGCGTCTTGCTCTTCACAGCCCAAGAACTAAAGGAAACAGTCCACTTGGTGAGAGGAAACTCTCAACTGAAGCATCATGGGGCAACCTAGCTATATCACTAGGAAACAAAGGACAAACATACTTCACTAAAGGGACCATAGGAGCCAATTTCTAGGGGCCGTGGGGGCTTCGGCCCCCACAAAGTTGATGGGGATTCCCGTTCAAATGGTGTTTGTGTGTGCACTGAGTCATGTGGGGTGGGGCTTACCTGGGCCCCCACAATATTTTATTCAAGTTGGCACCCCTGAAAGGGACAGTGGAAAGCACTCGTTACTTCTGCTATATACGTTTACCTCAATTCTGCCCCTTGTCCAAAACTGGTCCGCGTGTTTGTTATTGGATACCTATGGAGTAGCAGAAGTTAAATTGCATTTATCAGGCAAATGCAAGAGTGTACAATTCTAAAAATAAGAATCATTTTCAATGAACGTTGGAAGGCTCCATCTGGGCTAGATTCAACTAACAAGTTCCAGAGGAAGCTAGCATAAAGACTCCCACTAGTGCAACAGGGCTTTCCCTTCCTCTCCTCTCCAGTGGCTGCCCAAAGTCTGTTCCAGAGGATTGAGAGAACCCCCAGAACACAACATGGGGGGAGGAAAGGGGGTGTGTTCCATGGAGCAAGCAGAAATGCTTGCACTGATGGAAAGATCTCCTTAGCACTATGTTGAATTCCACCCAAGGTGGTGAGGTCGACTCAGTCAGAAGCCAAGTACTTTCAAGTTTACACTGGCAGTCAGTGTGTGGTGTATTGCACAAAGACCAGGGAAATGCGGGTTGCAAATCTCAGGCAAACAGTTTACTGGGTGGCCTTTGGATTGTCAATCTCATTAGATTTAACTACCTGAAATGGTTGTTGTGAGGATAAAAGAAGGGATGGTATTTTCAGCTATGGGCTATCAGAAGCTTATCTTGTGAATTCATCTTATCATATGTACATGACTGTTTTTTGGTTTTTTTACACTGGTGAAATCCCACAGTAGCTTACTCAGTCCTGAAGTCTTGCTGCAGGTAATGATATATTATATACGCAGATGAAAAACTAACTTACTAAAAAATAATAATCCAAAAAATGAAAAATTCCATGATAGCCTCTTAGTACCTCCATAGCCAAGCACTATTGTTGTCATCACCATATCAAAAGTATTTACAGTGCTTAATTAATAGTAGTGATACGCTACTCTTGCATTTGATTGTTGCTAGTTTACTGGTGGTAGTAACTACATGTCATGCAGAATATATATATATAATGCCTGAAATGTAGTTTTAGACACACACACACACACACACACACACACACACACACACACACTTAGGAAGAAGAAATAGCTTTGCTGCAATAATAATAATAATAATAATAATAATATATTTATTTATTTATTATTTATACCCCGCCTATCTGGCTGGGCTTCCCCAGCCACTCTGGGCAGCTTCCAACAAAATATTAAAATACATTCTCAACCATTTCTTGTATATCTTTGTCTGTGCATGGATCTCATAGATGGATGGCATAACTGTCTATTAAACCTCTAGTTCAAGATGAAACTAATTTTCCTCCTTGCATTTTAGCTCTGAGGATCTCCATGCCTCTCACCTTGAACCATTTGTGATTTATAAGAAACCAAGGCCCTTAATAGTAAAGTGCAAAAGGCACATATAGATCTTAACCTGTTAGTTATACTCCATGGCTCAGAGCTGCTGAATAATACAAAATGAGGGGTTACTTTACTATTAAGATCAAGGTATGAAAAATTATAGATGCGTTTATTCAACAATTTTAAGTCGACAAAATATGTCAACATAAAATATAGTTTAATATGGCCTTCTATTGCTATATACTTCTATCTCAAACACAAAGCTGAGTTCAGTGCTGGAAAATTCTAAAATCCCGTGGTTAAATCCTGTTACATCAGCTGGATCCAAACTGAAATACAGTATGAGAGCGGAGCAATATTTAGCCACATAAGATATGCCTATAGACCAAACATGACTGGGGAGGTGGGCATGGCTAAATTATGTGGGAATGTTAAAATTCCTTGGGTTTCTTCTTCAGCCTCTGTCACTCAGGGTTCTGTTTAAGTCCCCAGCCACCAGCTAAATCCAGCTTGCCGAAATTATGGGAAATGCATGCCTTACTCATGAAACAAATCTTCTCATGGGGCAGTCGGATTGGCATGTGCTTCCACTTTTATTGGGAAAAGATGCTTCTCCTTCATAAAAGTGAAGGATAAGATTCCATATTTGCTCATCTTGACTAAACAGTTGAATGGCTGAGTTTTCATTTTGATGTCTGATGTCTTCCATGTTTGATACAAAGGTCACTCTCCTGTAGATAAACAGGCTGATGAGGGAGAAGTCTTCATTGTCGATTCAGAATTCATGTAGCTTATCCAACAAAAATTTAAAGAACCATTTAATAACCCACCATTTGGAAGAATGAGCAAATCCTTCCCACAGACCTTATTTTCGTTTATCTCTTGGGGGTGAACCTGTGTTTTGCTTTGTTGGCTTGCTTTTTCTAACCCCAATAGGGGCTTGCGTTCTTCCTAAAAAAAATGGCTCCCACTTAGGGATGGAGTCTTCTACTTTTGCCCAGTAAAGAGTCTAGAAAAGAAATAACACAATATGCAATTTAATTTGGCTTCACAACATAATCTGCTTTGTTTACCAGCCCATCACAAAACAATCCAAACATAAAATGTGTCATTAAAGCCTGTTTTACGTGTGAAGTAATTTAGAAAAGGCCAAACTACTTTGGTGCTAATTCTCAAATCCCTCAATTATACAATATAATGGAGGCTGGAAGTATTTCAATGCCTGGAGTAAATTTGCAATGATTGGATGTGCCCTCTTGTGGTGAATAATGTATTAGAATAGTAATCCTTGAACATTATAATTGTTTCCTTCATTTATACGCAGGAGTTATATTTTTTCAGAATCACAAGGTTATTCCCAGAATTCTTAACAATAAAGTCCTTATCTAAAACATTTTAACTATGTAGTTGCTAGAAAGGTTTGGCATGTGCATAAATACAAGGATTTTAAAGGATTTTGAGGTAATTGGGTTCAAATAGTTTGAGGATGTTTTATGTGTTATAAAGCCACAACACCAAACAAAGTAATGGCAACATGGTTCAGAACAAAACTGAAAATGTCTAGGGCTTGCAAAGTTGCTCTGGCTTTAGCCATCTGAATTTATAGTCACTAAGACCCAGAGTGAGAGGAGTAGAGCCTTGTCTCTGGGTGTCATAGAGCCTGCAAAGTGCACAGCCAACTCTCAGGAGGAAGTCTGGTGCTTGTCTCTATACTGCTCAGTTTATTTGACTACCTCTGAGAAACCTGTATGTTAGGAAGAAGGCAGAGGATTGTTCCCTCAGTCATACTGTGTCTTGGATGTACTCCTTTAAGTTTGGAGAACTTTTGAAATACAGCACAGTGTGGCTGAGGGGACAATGTTGAAACTCTACTGAGAAAATGCCAAAATATGAATCAAGTGATAATGGAAATACAGCTTTGAACCTCATGAATCCCAATATGTTCTGGATTATGAAAACAGCAGTATACAATGTATTGGAAACGGAAACTGTGACATAACATAGAATTTAACGTCCAACTAATGGAGTATTAGAGGCTGCATTTCTATTCCAACAAAGAATCTTAAATATAATGAAATCATCCGAAGAGGCTGTAGAGCACCAGGGGCACAGCAGTGATTGCATTTTAAAACCATGTTATCATTTAGCAACATCATGAAGAGCTTAAGGTAGCAGTAGCCAATGTGGTGCCCTCCAGATGGGCTCATCCTTCAGCCCCAGCCATCATGACCAATGGTCAAGAATGAAAGCAGTTGGAGCACAATGACATCTGGAGGTCACTATTGGCAATCTTTGGCTTAAAAGTTTACATTAAGACTATGGAAAGCTGGGAGTTTGGCCTTAGGCTTACCTCAAGGTTAACAATGTCAGGGTGCAGAAGTAAGTGGTCTCTCGACTGTAGGTTTTTCCCTGCTGTTTTTATATCCTGCAACACATGAAGCACCAGAATTCACACACATGCAACAAAGCAGCAATATTATATACTGGGGCGAGGAATGTCAGGTCTGGAGGCCAAATGGGCCCCCCAGGTCTCTTTTATCTGGCCCTCAGAACTCTCTCTGGGCCACTCCTGTGGCAACATCCTTTTCCCTCAGGCCACACCCTGCACCAGCCCTATTCCACGTCCTCCTCAAAGGCTTTGGTCTGGCTAGAATGGGTCCGTGGACTGCAATAATTACTTTTGCTTGTTGGATAAAAGATGGAGAGATACATGTGCGTGGAAATCTCTGACTTTTCCATACATGGACTTTTCCATCTCCCAGAACCTGGAGAGCCTTAAAAGTAGGAGAGAAAAGAGCTCAAAGACAGAGGACATGAGCCTTAAAAGTAGGAGAGAAAAGAGCTCAAAGACAGAGGGCATGTGGCAGCATGAGTAGAAAAGACGATGAGAGTGACGAATGAGGAAGTGGGAGAGATGGGGAGTGGGATGGAGATTCACTCAGGACAACGCCATTATCCAAGAGGCTGAGTTCTATAGCCCTCTCTGCAAAGACTGAAATAAAATAGGATGGTAAGAAACTTGTCTTTATACTTTCCTGGGCAACCAGCCGGGAGCCTCTCACAGCATCCTGACAATAAGGGATATCAATGTACATGGTACCTGAACAGAAGAGGCATAAAAAGATCACAGATCACTGTCCCAAGTGATATACAATCTAAAGAGAAGATGAAGAATAAGGGCTTTGTAAATCATAATACTCTTTTTATATCAGCACCATTAGCTTCGTGTATGTTTCCAAGCTTAGTTCAAGATTCTAGTTAACACCTTTAAAATCCTAAAATGCTTAGGACCATGGGGCATAAGGACTGACATCTCCAGAAAGACCAGGATGCATAAGAGGGACTCACAAGAGAGGATGCACTCGGTTAGTTTATCCCTGCCCAAAAAGATAAATTTGCCTCACTAGGTCTCCCACTAAATACCTTCTTTGATTTTGGCAAAACTCCATCCGACCAGTGTCTGATTTTATTATACTTGGTAAGCAAGACACTTCACAGAAATTGTAAAGTTTTGAGAAAATGTACAAACCCTAAAAATGTCCTAAAAAACCCAGCAACAATTTGGATGAGTATCTTTACTGGTGTGTTAGTTCCAATAATCTTATGAAAAGCATTTTTTTTGCTATTCTCCAGCAACTGATTTTCCCATTCAGGAGGGGCTTTGCATACAGGGATCAGCTGTTTCACATACTTCAACAAAGCTATTATATCAACAAGAGGAAGACACTGCACAGGAAAGTGGTTTGTGCGTGACTGAGCAAGAAGAAAAAACAACTATCGAAACAGTTTATCAAATAAGTTACAATTTTATTGGAATTGAAGGCTCTGCTGATCCATTGAATAAGTTAAGTGCTTAAGAATGGGTGTGTAGCCAGAACAATATCACAACTGTTGTTATACTAGCATTGTGGATATGCCACCAATGAAGACAGACATTCCAGTGCTCCTCACGGGCCCCTTTTATATTTATAACTTTTATTATTTTCAAGGGATTTGGGGAAAGTAAAAAGAAATCCCAGAATTAAGTTCATTAGTGAACCAGCATTTTGTGGCTAGCAAACTTTTTTTTTTTAAAAAAAAAAGTAGGGTTGGGGTATTAGATTTCTTGAAACGTGTCACCACTGAAACCAGCTTCTTCCATTCTAGTTCCTTGAATCCGCTCTTGTTCTTAAATAGTTTCCTTTGTCTCTTGGTCACAGTACTTGGTCACAGAGTCAACTAATGACCAAAAAGAGTCAAAGCTTCAAAAGCTCTTTACAAGTTGCAAGACACAAATGTGCACCTGTATGTTGGCTGGAAAGGATCTCTGCTGTGGGTGTCCTGAGGATGAACGTTCTTCTGCAGCTCTTCCTGGTACCCATGGGCTGTTTCATTTCCTACCTCCTTTTCTTACTGTATATGAGATAGCTCTCACTCATGGCAATGGGTGTTCAAAAACACGTTATACCCGGCAATGTTGCATCCCTACCTCCCTGGAACCATCTAAATCTCTCAAACGCGGTTTTCTTAGAAAGTGAAGACAAATCCTTCAAGGAAGGAACTTTGAGGAATAAGGTATGCAACATGACAGAGATTTTAAATGAATCAGCTGTACCCTGACAAACACCCTTCAGACTTGGAGAGTTTTTATTACCGAGGTACTTTTTACTGAGAGCGCTGACTGCATGATTTGAACTTTATGCGCTGGGGGTAATTTACAGTTAAGATGATTCACCATTTGGAGCGAAAGCATTTGCAGCGCACATGTGATGAAGCCAATATTCTTTCCGAAAGAAAGCCACAAAGTAACGGAGCTGCAAAGACAGACAGCAATTTTGTTGAAGCTCTTCCCTGCTCAAGACAAAGATGACTTGCTAATATGCATGCATAACATGTGCACAAAGATGTAGAAAGGCAGCAAGCTGTTCACCAGACATTCAAACTCCAATGAAAACTCACCTCTATTAGCTTTTCTGAGGAAATTTGCACATGGGCTTCCACTTTCCATGTGTTGGGTTCACAGAGAACTAGACTCAATCTGGGGGCGGGAGGGGGAAGCACCTCCTCAAAGCTGTGACACCCCCCTCTTTTTTGTGGGCTTTCATACACAAACATTAAAGAGATCAAGCGCAGGCCTTTTGGGCAAATTAAGAGAGATGGGAAGGGGCGTGGGAGTGGGGTGTGAAGGAGCCAGTGCTGAACAGAGATGGAAGGAGAGAGCATAGCAGATGGCATCGTCGGGAGCAGAGAGTGAGTGTGAAGAGTAAGGCATTTTTTAAAAATTAAGTTAAAAAAAGGAGGAAATTCCCCAAAGGGACTTCCCATCATTCCCAAAACATGGCAGCTCAGAAGAATAGGGATCCTGGTGCAACGGGATCAAAACAAAGAGACGCTCGCCAGGAGCGGAGGAGCCACTTGGAATATCACCGTTAAATTAAAACCAGCCTAAGCAGGGCTTGTGAGATCTAGACCCAATTTATTGCAGGCAGCAATGGAAAAGGAATGACAAAGTGAGCGATTGTGAACATGATGAGACAGGGGAGGAAATGCAAGATAACCTTTCCTCCTTCCTACACTCGTGCATTTATAGAAGTATAAGACCCTCCCGATTTTGCTAAAAGGGGTGGTTCACAATGTCGGACTAACAGCTCCAGAGATTAAATGACAGAACAGATGCACCATGAAATGCAGACTGTTACAACACCTATCAAAACGTTTTCTCCTTGGCCTGAAGAGATCAACTGTCATGATAGCAAGACACCTCAGACTCCCTTTAACCCTGGTTTTCTAGGGTGTTGTATGGCAAAGTATTCTTACTGCAACACGCTCCAATCCACAGCACTGCTCTTAGGAAGTTTTCCACAGCATTACGCAATCCTGTCCAAAATCAATTCAGCGGCTACTTTGTTTCAAAAATATATATATGATGATAGGAAAGTAAAGTACAGTACTTTGGGGCAAGAGAAAATAGCTCTGGCTCGCTTGATTTTAGTTGAGAAGGGCACTTTGGCACAGCCTACATACCAGATGTGTCTTTTTGTTGCTCCTATCCAGTTTTAGCATATTTTGAAGTCTATTGTCATCCAGAACACTGATTTAATGACAGGAACTGACAGAATTTGTTGCTGGGAGCTGAAATGTGCCTTGGGGGTGCATCTAATCTCTGAAAGATTAGATGGCACCTTTGCATGCTGCTGATAGCTAAAGGCAACCATGTCTTTTGTATGTGTCTTTTCCCTTTAAGGTTTGGCAACAGGGTTTGCTTTTGGCAAACCTTTTCAATATTTTAAAAAGTCAGCAGTAATATAATATGCCTTTGGCATATCAAGTGCAGTTTTTTTGGGTACTGCGATATAAAACATTTTGGGTTTTTAAAATTTTCAAAAAGCAGCTGAGAGTAAAGGGAACAAAGAAGGTGACAAGTAAAGGCCACATACAGCCCCTTGGAAGTCTACTAAATACCACTAGCTTCAGGTGATGAGGGAAAATACTACAAATCTACAATGCTGCTCCAGGAACAGTGCTTCAAAATACCTTCAGAAAAGATTCAGCACTGCCTATACTTCTAAAAGCTTACTTTACTTATCACATCTGTTTCTCACACATCTTCCCATTTAATAATTATGACAACCCTGTGAGGTAGGCTAGGCTGAGAGAGAGAGTGATTGTTATGAGGTGAAGTTCAGTGAAGTTCAGAAAGGATTTGAATCTAAACATTCTCAGTCCACATCCAGCATTCTGTCTTCCACACGGGCTCCATTTAGTATTAAACAATTCACTGCTTTATATTCTGTGCCATGTAATAAAATGAGACAGTACATTATCAATTAGCCAATCCCTCTCCTCAGATGGCATTGATGTGATTTCTGCTAAACAATGATGGACTTATGCGGTCCTGAGTGTGGTGCATTCTTAGCTTTGTAAGCCCATTTTTAATTTGTTTAAGAAACTTAACTCCTTGGTAGCCTCTGAAAAGGTAACTGTTTCCCCAAAGTGATGCAGAATAAATCACTGAAAAACAGATAGATATAGATAGATATATCTTTATTGTCATTGTCCCATGCAGGACAATGAAATTGCAAAACTACATAAAACTACCACAAAACTACATAAAAACTACATAAAACATTCAAAAACCCCTAAAAATTCTAAAACCCTATTTTAAAATACACTATACTGTAGAAACCCCTTATGCTGCATTTAGAACCAGAATTGCATTTGCACAGAAACTGTTTCTCAGGCGGCTAGTCCTGGCCTTTATATCAATATCAAAATTGACCATTCGAATATTAAATCAGTCGTATAAACCATTTTATTTCAAGCCCGTCAAAAATCTATAGAGTCCTAACTCAGAGCCACTGAAAAACATACAATAACAAATATATTAACCTACCCTCTTAATTAAAAGCAGACTGAAATGAAACATCTTCAGGGATTATCTAAAAG